CAGCCGCAGAGAGGTCAAGTAGTAAGAGTACGGAGTATTGGCCATTGGTTTTAGCAGTTAGTAGATCATTAGTGAGTTTTAGTAGGGCAGTTTCAGTGGAGTGTAGTGAGCGAAAGCCGGACTGTAAAGGGTCAAGAAGGTTGTTGTCAGTGAGGTGGGAGCTCAGGCAATTGTAGACTAAGCGTTCTAAGAGTTTAGAGGTAAACGGAAGCAGGGAGATGGGTCTTAAGTTGTTCAGGTTGGTGGGGTCCAGTGAGGGCTTTTTAAGTATGGGATTGATCTGTCCATGCTTTAGAGGGGAGGGGAAAGTGTCAGTAGAGAGGGAAAGATTGAAAATGTGAGTGAGGGAGCACAGGATAGAAGAAGAGCATGACAGTAGTAGTTGTGAGAGAACAGGATCCAGGGGTCAGGTGGTGAGATGGGCTTCTGAGAAAACTTTAGTGACCTCCTCATTAGTAGCAAGGTCAAAAGAGGTAAGTGTTGAGGGAGGTTAAGTATAAGGTATGCTAAGTGAGATAGATAACTGTGCAGTGGAGATGCCCTCATGAATTGTATAAATCTTGTTTTTGAAATGATTAGCAATCTCGTAAGCAGTGAGTGTGTTACTGGGTGGAGGTGGCTGTGGAGAAAGTAGAGAGTTAAAAGTAGAGAAGTGACGATGAGAACTGGATGACAAGAATGACATAGTAGGCTTATTTGGCAGCATGGAGGGAGGAATTGTATTTTAAGAAAGCAAATTTATATCGGGTGAATGCTGGCTGGGATTTGGTTTTAAGCCACATTCACTCCAGTACACGGTTATGTCTCTTAAGATTTCTGGTGTCGTCAGTCTTCCACGGTTGTAATGGTTGGGGTCTGATGCTTCGTGTAGTTAGAGGAGCAAGTGAGTCTAGTGTGCATGAAAGCGAACTGTTATAGACAGCAGTGGCCAGGTCAGGGCAGGACAGGAGAGAGATTCTGTCATAGAGTTGGTCAGTTGCAGAGTAGAAAAAAGAAGGGTTAAAGTTGCAGAGGTTTCTGCGGGTAATTGTTTGCTGCTTGGAGGGAAAGGTGTTTGAAGATGAGGACACCGAGAAGGTGACGAGATTGTGATCAGAGAGAGGAAAGGGGATGTTTGTGAGGTTGTAGGGAGTGCAAAGATGGGAGAAACCAAGGTCTAATGTATTCCCATCAGAGTGAGTGGAGGACTGTATACATTATGTTAGGGCAAAAGATGAGGTTAAGTTGAAGAGTTGGAATGTAGCCGGGTTGTTAACATTAATAGGGATGTTAAAATCACCAAGAATGATAGTGGATATTTCAGAGGAGAGCCAGGCAGAGAAGTCATCAAGAAAAGACAACACCAGTCCAGGAAGTGAATAGATCACTGCAATCCTCAGTGGAATGGGAGAAAACAGCCAAATGCAGTGAGTCTCAAAAGAAGAGAAGGATAGAGAGGAGGGTTAGGGAGTATTTGAAAGGTGCTCAGTGGGGATAGAAGCAAACCAACTCCACATCCTTTCCGACTACTGGGTCTGGGTGAGTGGGTCCAGTGGAGGCAACCATGGAAATCTGATGCTTGAAGCCAGGTTTCTGTAATTCCTAGTAGGTTAAGGGAGTGGGAGAGAAAAGGGTCATGGACAGAGGTGAGCTTGTTACAGAGCGGGCATTCATAAGTGCACATGAAAAGGGGAGGGTAGTTTTTAGGAGCAGGGGGATTGAGATTACATTGAGTGGATCGCGGCTATTCCTGGAGGAAGGAGATACTGGATGGCCAGGGTTTGGGGAGATATCCCCCAGAGGTATGGAGAAGAAGGAGGGTGAGAAAAGTAAGATGGAAGTGGGATGTATATGAGTGTACATGACTTCCTATCCTAGTGTTTGGGTCAGCAAGTGAGTTAAGTATTAGCAGGAGGTGATGAGAGCAGTAGTAGGGAGATGAGATGGTAGAAGTCAGGATGATATGTATAGGTTTTGGGGTAAAGAAATGTGATTTAGAGAACATAGGATAGTATTATGAAAAGGAGGAGTAGAGGGGGCAAATTAAAGATAGATGGAGTGGGAATCAGACTTGTAGGAAATGTTTCCCAGGGTGTTTTGCTTACAGTCAGTCCAGAGTAGAGTTCTTTGTTGTATTTTCTTGTTGCTTGAGTTATCCTGCTTTAGGTAAACTGTGGTCTTCAACTGCCGTTTTGCACTCCGGCAGAAAATGCACTCACACAGAACAATGCTCCCTGTCTGTGACTTCCCTCATAGGCTGGTCTAAATTTATAGGGAGATGATCAAATGAGCAATCCTTCCCCACCCCAATTAGAAACTGATAAGGAACACATGAATTGTGGGGTTGGGGTTTGGTCAAAGTTCAGACCAGCCACAGACACAGGCCAAAGTCATAACAGATGATTGGTTCTCTGATCACAGAGAGGCAAAAAGAAGGTGAGAATCAATCACCACAAACATACAAACAATATAGACTGAGTTTTGCAGATAGTAAGTGCATTGCAAAGAGACAGTTTAACATGGCGTTGAGACCAGGGGTGGACTGACAACTCATGGGGCCCCCGGGCATTAGGGGATCATGGGGCCCCTGTGTACTTGCCCAAACTCAAAAAAGCCTATGAAAAATGTACCAGGGGCATCTCATGGGTCCCCCTACTGACCCCAGGCCCTCGGGCAGTGTCCGAGTTTCCAAATGGTCAGTCCTCCCCTGGTTGAGACTAGGGTTGCCACCTAATCCCTTTAAAACCAAACATATATTAATTATACGAGTTCTGAGGCTAATTTATTGCAGATAAGGCCTAAGTGAGTTTAATCACCACCTTAATCAGCCACAGAACCTGTGTCATTGATATGTGTTCGGTTTTAAAAGGATGAGATAGAAGCCCTAGTTCAGACAGCAGACAGCAGCATTTACCTGTAAAAAAAGCAGAGAGGACATGATCAGGAGACTGTGTTCAGCTGCTGCTCCAGCAGTAAATGCACTGACGCAGGAAAACGCCCTGTCTGTGACTGCAACCCCTGTCTGTGGTAAATGGCAATGAAACTGTTGCTTTAACCAATCAGATTTTGAGTTGGTGACACTGGACCCATCTAGCAGGCGTACAATAATTCATGCCAGAAATATGCCTTGAAAGACTGGATTTTCAGCATTATCCTTCATGGTGATAGAAAAGAACTTATTGTTGGAACTAAAACACACAGATAACCTGTACAACAGAGTAATTGAACTCTTTCTGAGGAAAGAAAGGGGGATGGATTTTGTGTACAAATAATTGTTAGTTTTGGTGCGGATAATATATATATTTTTTACATTTTTACTTTACAGGCAACCCTTGCTATTCTAGGCCCTGCTTTTTCGTGTTCCCATTTTTTCAGTGCTGAATTTTAAAGTATTACTAAACCGTGGACCCTTCACTATATCTGGTCTCCCCGGACCCTGCATCTACTATATCTGGTCTCCCTTGACCCTGCAATCACTATATCCGGTCTCCCCGGACCCTGTATCCACTATATCCGGTCTCCCCGGACCCTGCATTCACTATATACGGTCTCCCCGGACCCTGCATTCACTATATACGGTCTCCCCGGACCCTGCATTCACTATATACGGTCTCCCCGGACCCGACATTCACTATATCCTGTCTCCCCAGACCCTGCATTCACTATATCTGGTCTCCCCGGACCCTGTATCCACTATATCCAGTCTCCCCTGTGACGGGCGCGGCATCAGACCCCAGCCCTTTTCACCAAACTCGTGACCAAAGGACTAGTCAATCTAATACCGCGCCGTAATGTGTGTAACAATGCCACACCCAGCTGCACCCTGCACACCGATGTTACAGTTAATTGGACAACAATCGATGTACCGGCAGCCTGAATGCGATTGTTACTGGTTCAGGTTAATTACGCAATTAACCCTTCACACTGCCACCACCTCCTTTTTATACAGAGAAAGAGGAAACTCAGCAATACACTAGGATGATTGGTTAATTGACAGTATACCGCTATCTCTACAGACAGGTTATACAGAGGGTTAAACACTCATAGTAGCGTTCTCTTTAGAGACTGTCCTATGAGACTGCATGACCCCTGACCGTCTGTCTGGACAGTGCTGATTAGCCCTGTACTGATCACATGCACTCTCCCAAGAAAAAAAAAAAAAACCTCTATAGCAATACACAGCAAACTGAGCATGAGTATGTACATGTGGCTATGAGTTCACTCTGTCTAATCGGGTGGACATTTGAACAAGAGGCAGGGCAGAGAAGTCAGGATCAAATGGTCTTTTTACAAAATGCAGTGGATTAACCCCTTATGTCCCACAGTGAGTATAATAAGCGTGCTTTACTGCATATACAGACTGATTGTACTGTTGTGGGTTTAGTAACACTTGCCGTCTGGCTGCTGTATATAAACGGCCGGGAGGTGGCAGTCCAGGGGCGGGTTGCCATTCATAAATGGCGCCCACCATTTTGGATTGTGCCCTCTCCCTGGGAGCGCCCAGCACTGCGATCTGGTGCCCGATGTGTCCTCCGGACACAGTGGAACACTGATCGTCGTACGAGACCTCTGTGCAAGGTCTCGATCATGAGATCACTGATTGGCCAATCAGTGATCACATGCAGAGTAGTAAACAAGATGTCACTTCTGACATCATTGCTTACTACGTGTGAAATGTGTGAATGATCACAGAGGTCACATGGTACAGGGCCATTCACAACAGCCTTGTACATGTGACAAACTGTGACCAATCACAGCTCACATAGTATTTCTCAATGGCTGCAAGAATGCAGTCAGAGAGAAGGAGAAAATGATTGCTTTTACAGCCTTTATGGGTGTAAATGCAATCAGTGTAAAAAAAAAAAAAAAATCTACATCACCCCCCACAAGTAGTACAGTGTCACCATGGTACTGCTAGAGTGACAATATGTAAAAAAAAAAAAAAAAAAAAAAAAAAATAAATAATAATATAAAAAATAAATGAAATTGCAAAAAATGTTTTAAAAATTATAATGTTTGGGTATAAACTAATTTGGGTTATTTTTTTACTAAAAAGATAACTGAATAAATTTTGGCCAAGATTTATGATGAAATATTATTTATTTGCAAAATGTTATAAGAAAAACACTTTTTTAAAAAATCTTTGGACTTTTTCATTTATATAGCAAAAAAAAATAAATACCACCAAAATAAAGCTTTATCTGTCTCAAAAAAATGCTAAAAAAATACATATGGGTACAGTGTTGCATGACCGCACAATTGTCATTCAAAGTGTGATAGCGCTGAAAGCTGAAAATTGAGCTGGCCTGGAAGGGGGGGAAGTGTCCGGACTGGAAGGGGGTAAAAGTGTCCGGACTGGAAGAGGGTGAAAGTGTCCGGACTGGAAGAGGGTGAAAGTGTCCGGACTGGAAGAGGGTGAAAGTGTCCGGACTGGAAGGGGGGGAAAGTGTCCGGACTGGAAAGGGGGGAAAGTGTCCAGACTGGAAGAGGGTGAAAGTGTCCGGACTGGAAGGGGGGGAAGTGTCCGGACTGGAAGGGAGGGAAAGTGTCCGGACTGGAAGAGGGTGAAAGTGTCCGGACTGGAAGGGGGGGAAAGTGTCCGGACTGGAAGGGGGTGAAAGTGTCCGGACTGGAAGGGGGGGAAAGTGTCTGGACTGGAAGAGGGTGAAAGTGTCCGGACTGGAAGGGGGGGAAAGTGTCCGGACTGGAAGAGGGTGAAAGTGTCCGGACTGGAAGGGGGGGAAAGTGTTTGGACTGGAAGGGGGGGAAAGTGTCCGGACTGGAAGAGGGTGAAAGTGTCCGGACTGGAAGGGGGTAAAAGTGTCCGGACTGGAAGAGGGTGAAAGTGTCCGGACTGGAAGAGGGTGAAAGTGTCCGGGCTGGAAGGGGGTAAAAGTGTCCGGACTGGAAGAGGGTGAAAGTGTCCGGACTGGAAGGGGGTGAAAGTGTCCGGACTGGAAGAGGGTGAAAGTGTCCGGACTGGAAGGGGGGGAAAGTGTTTGGACTGGAAGGGGGGGAAAGTGTCCGGACTGGAAGAGGGTGAAAGTGTCCGGACTGGAAGAGGGTGAAAGTGTCCGGACTGGAAGAGGGTGAAAGTGTCCAGACTGGAAGGGGGGGAAAGTGTCCGGACTGGAAGAGGGTGAAAGTGTCCGGACTGGAAGGGGGTGAAAGTGTCCGGACTGGAAGGGGGGGAAAAGTGTCCGGACTGGAAGGGGGTAAAAGTGTCCGGACTGGAAGAGGGTGAAAGTGTCCGGACTGGAAGGGGGGGAAAGTGTCCGGACTGGAAGTGCTTAAAGACAAAATTTGCTGGATTAATTCAGATGGGAAATCATTGCAGGCCTAGGTGTGAAATGCATGACCCACCACTACTAGCTAGCATGTCCTTAGCTATCCCTAACTAGCATGTCAATTCAGAGGAGACTAACCTATAAATATATTTAAATTACTCGATAATATTAAAAAAAAAAAATGTATTTATCTGTTAACACATCCCTCTTAATATATTGCTTAATTAGTCGTCGGGAGATTCCCTGTAGATTCAGCAACACAGCACGCCTTGGTATCTCTGCCTATATATAGTGCTTGTCCTCACAACGCATTGTATTCATGTAAGACCATTATGAGAAGGGATGACAGATATAGATATGAATCATTTCATGTCAGGAAAAGCGGTAAGACACAAACCTCATTTATTCTTCTTTTAGAGAGTACCATGTATCCGGTTTTTTTTTACTTATTTTTTGTGTTTATTAACCAATGCTTTCTTAATTAAAAAATTAAATGGTTTGTGTTTATTTTTTTGTTGCATAACATTTTGCATAAAATCAGTGATTTTAAATGCTTTACATTTTCACCATGTGATTTTTTTTTTGGCTTCTTTTCTAATTTTTACGGGATAGCTAGTAGACATTTGATTGGCAACTAGAAATGCAGTTCAAGCAAATCAGAGACTGGCAATGTTTTGATACACCTGTACAATTGTGCTCAAATGTTTGCCTCTACTAGAAGAAATTTCAACATTTTGGCGTTGATATTGAAAATATGACTGATCATGCCAAAAATGTGTCTTTTATTTAACCCCTTCCAGTCCGGACACTTTCACCCCCTTCCTGACCAGAGAAATTTTCAGCTTTCAGCGCTATCACACTTTGAGGGACAATTGCGCGGTCATGCAACACTGTACCCATATGAATTTTTTACCATTTTTTTGAGATAGATAAAGATTAATTTTGGTGGTATTTATTCACCACTGGGATTTTTTTTTTTAGCTATGTAAATGAAAATGTCCAAAAATTTTGAAAAAAGTGTTTTTGTTATACAATTTTACAAATAAATAATATTTCATCATAAATCTTGGCCAAAATGTATTCCGTTATCTTTTTAGTAAAAAAAAAATAAGCCAAATTAGTTTTTAACCAAAAATTATAATTTTTAAACATTTTTTCTTACATTTTTATTTTTTTTATATTATTATTTATGTTATTTTTTTTTTTTCACATACTGTCACCCTAGCAGTACAGTGTCACCATGGTCACACTGTACTACCTTTGGGGGGTGATGAAGATTTTTTTTTTTACACTGATTGCTTTTACACCCATATAGGATGTAAAATCATTTATCTTTCTCTCTGGCTGCATTCTTGCAGCCATTGAGAAATACTGAGTGAGCTGTGATTGGTCACAGCTTGTCACATGGTACAAGGCTGTTGTGAATAGCCCTGTACCATGTGACCTCTGTTATCATTCACAGATTTCACACGTAGTAAGCAATGATGTCACAAGTGACATCTTGCTTACTACTTTGCATGTGATCACTGATTGGCCAATCAGTGATCACATGATCGGGACCTCACACAGAGGTCCTGTCCGATGATCGGTGTTTCATTGTGTCCGGAGTACACAGTGGGCACCGGATCGCAGTGCTGCACGCTCTCAGGGAGCGTGCACAAGCAGGGTGCAGGGAAGCCGTTTATAAACGGCCACCTGACCCTGCACTGCCACCGTCTGGCCATTTATATACAACAGCCAGATGGGAAGTGGTTAAGGATAGTGATCTTATGAAACAATTTAATATCACAGAGGGTGGCACAGTGGCTTAACGGTTAGCACATCTGACGTTTAGTAAATGGGTCATGGGTTCGATTCCTGACCAGGGTGCCTCCTGCATGGAGTTTGCATGTTCTCTCTGTGCTTGCATTGGTTTCCCCCGGGTTCTCTGGTTTCCTCCCACACTCCAAAGACATGCTGGTAGGTTAATTGGCTCCTGTCTAAATTGTCCTAGTTTCATCCCTGGCCGGGATCTCCTGCATGGTGGGGGTTGGGGAAAGACCTGGCAACCTACCCTGGAAAAATAATTGCTAAGAGAATTCTTGGAAAAAGTTGCTTACGAGTGACGGTCCATGCAATCGCCAAGGGTCGGATACCACTGACTGGATAGATAGATTATCACAGAGTTGTTTGGCTCCCTTCTAAATCATATTGATAAGAGAAATCACCCAAATGGCCCGGATCAAAAGTTTCCCTCCCCTGGAATGTTCGGTGTTGGTACAGACACACAAGGTGACACACACGGGTTACAATGGCAATTAACCGCTTCCGTTCCACCCTATAGCAAAAATACTGCTACAGGGCGGCATGGGTGCACAAAATTGTGTATATATACATGTGATTTTTCAGTTCTGGGTAGGGGGCACACACGCCCTATCCATGCTGCCATTCATGGCCTTGGCTGTCAATCACCAGATCCTGGCCAGTGATTCCCCGCCAGCATCCGGTGATCGCCGAGTATCATCGACAGGGAAGAGACCTGTGTATAAACAACACAGGTCTCTCCCCTGTCAGCTCCTGAACACTGCTTTGTATGGCTCTGCATAGCAGAAACATTCCTCAGAGATTTTGGTCTATATTGACATGGGTTACTGTTGCCTTTCTATCATCATGAGCCAGTCTACCCATTCCCCTCTGACATCAACAAGACATTTTCCTCCACACAACACTGGATATTTTCTCTTTTTCGGACCATTCTCTGTAAACCCTAGAGATGTTTGTGCATGAAAATACCAGTAGATCAGCAATTTTTGAATTACTCAAGCCAGTCTGTCACCAACAACCATGCCTTGTTCAAAGTCACTTAAATACCCTTTCTTCCTCATTCTGATGCTTGGCTTGAACTTCAGCAAGTCGTCTTCACCACGTCTAGATGCCTAAATGCTTTGAGTTGCTGCCATGTGATTGGCTGATTAGCAATTTGTGTTACCAAGCAATTGAACAGGTGGACCTAAAAAAAGAGGCCAGTGAATGTAAGTTCTAGGGATGAGCTGAGCTGTTTCCTGTTGAAATCAATGGGAGCAGAATCTGTCAAACAAACAAATGTACATTTGCTGGGCTAATAGGCAAGGGATTGTGAAGAAAATAGTGTGCAGAACACCAATGATTATTTTTAAATTTCATTCGGTCAAAAGCAGTCATTTTTGAAATGCCTAAAGCCAAACATTAAAAATGGCCAAACCCTTTAAGTAACACGCCGGCAAAATTAATTTCCCTGCCGGCTCTTTAGCTCCTCGCCCTCCAGAGGATTTACCCCCCTTCATGACCAGGCCATTTTTTTGTGATATGGCGCTGCTCTACTTTAACTGACAATTGCCCGGTCATGTAACGCTGCACCCAAATGAAATTTATGTCCTTTTTTTCCCAAAAATGGAGTTTCTTTTGGTGGTATTTTATCACTTCTGAATTTTTTTTTTTTGAGCTATAAACAAAAAAAGACCAACAATTTTGAGAAATAAAAAATATTTATGACTTTTTGCTAATAAATATGTCCAGTAAAAAAATCTAATTTTGTCATAAATTTAGGCCAAAATGTATTCTGCTCCATGTCTTTGCTAAAAAGAATCCCAATATATGTAAATAATTGGTTTACGTGAAAGTTATAGCGTTTACAAATGTCAGTATATATATTGGAATTTTTTTTTTTATACTAGTAATGGTGGCGATCAGCGACTTATAGCGGGACTGTGGCGGGCATTCTGAAACTGGGGGGAACTGACTAACTGCCACTGACATCTCTCCAGTGACACTAACACAGTGATCAGTGCTAATTAAAAGCACTGACACTGTAATAATGGCACTGGGCAGGAAGGGGTTAACATCCGGGGGTGATCAAAGGGTTAACTGTGTACTGTGTGCTATTTTATGGTGTGCTGTGTGTGCGCTCTACTGTATCAGCATAAGGCATAAGGCTTTTTATGGCTCTGCTATGCAGAGACATACAAAGCCGTGTGCAGGAGCTGACAGTGGAGAGATCAGTATTGTTTACATACAGACCTCTCCCACTTCAGTGATGATCGGCAATCACCGGTTGCCGGGACCTGGTGATCGGCAGCTGAAGGCGCCAATCAAAAAAGCAAAATCATGTATATACTATATGTGATTTTGCACAGCCCTGCCACCCTGTAGCAGTATTTCTGCTACAAGGAGCCAGGCAAGTGGTTACAAAAACAAAATTGTCACATCAACCTCTCCAGAAAGGTCCCCAAAAGTCCTGTACATAGCAGACATGGGGTCTACATCTTTAAAGCAGAACTTCGCCATTATTGTAAAGTTCCCTCTTCGCCACCCTTCCTTCCCTATTTCCCATGTGAAGCGCACTTTTTTTTTTCTTTGTTTACCTGTATTTTTCTTAAAAATATTTATCCCCCCACCCCAGGTGAATGACAGGAGTTATGTCTGCTATGGCTCCTAGGATATGCACGTCATGTATCCCAGGAGGCAAAGTGCTTCATAGAGAACGGAGAAGAGCTTATGCAGGCCATAGACGGGGAGAAAAACGGCCGATTTTTCTTTTAAAAAATGAAAAATCGGTCGTTCAAGCGGCCGACGTTACCACCAATGGTAAAAAAAAAATCGGCCGATTTTCATCCCGTCTACATCCGGCAAAAAGTGTCCCTGCAGAGAGCTCTGCTATTTCTTTGACAGTTCTCTGACAGTTCCTTGACATTTACAGAGGTTGCAACAATGTATCTATTTGTATCCATTTAGGATACAGATGTTTTTATTCGGAAACAAATAGATACAATGTTGCAACCTCTGTAAATGTCAAGGAACTGTCAGAGAACTGTCAAAGAAATAGCAGAGCTCTCTGCAGGGACACTTTTTGCCGGACTGGAATTCCTCTTATTTTTCATCCTTCTTCTTCTCCTTCTTCATCATCATCCTCTTCTTCTTCTTCTTCTTCATCATCATCCTCTTCTTCTTCTTCTACTTCTTCATAATAATCATCCTCTTCTACTTCTTCTTCATCATCATCCTCTTCTTCTTCTTCTTTTTCTTCATCATCATCATCCTCTTCTTCATCATCATCATCCTCTTCTTCTTCTTCTTCTACATCTTCATCATCATCCTCTTCTTCATCTTCTTCTACTTCTTCATCATCATCCTCTTCTTCTTCTTCTTCCTTCATCATCATCATCCTCATCTTCTTCTTCTTCATCCTCATCCTCCTCTTCTTCTTCTTCTTCTTCTTCTTCTTCTTCATCATCATCCTCCTCTTCTTCTTCTTCTTCTTCTTCATCATCATCCTCTTCTTCTTCTTCTTCTTCTTCTTCTTCATCATCATCCTCTTCTTCTTCTTCTTCTTCTTCTTCTTCATCATCCTCTTCTTCTTCTTCTTTTTCTTTCTTCATCATCATCATCCTCTTCTTCTTCTTCTTCATCATCATCATCCTCTTCTTCTTCTTCTACTTCTTCATCATCATCCTCTTCTTCATCTTCTAATTCTTCATCATCATCATCCTCTTCTTCTTCATCATCCTCCTCTTCTTCTTCTTTTTCTTCATCATCATCATCCTCTTCTTCTTCTTCTTCTTCTTCTACTTCTTCTTCATCATCATCCTCTTCTCCTTCTTCTTCTTTTTCTTCATCATCCTCTTCTTCTTCTTCTCCTTCTTCATCATCATCCTCTTCTTCTTCTTCATCATCATCATCTTCATCCTCTTCTTCTTTTTCTTCTTTTTGTCTTCCTCTTGCAGGTCACTGCTCATGCGCAGATTTTTTATCGGTAAAAAATCGGCCGATTTGCCCATTATTGCCGCGAAAATCGGCCGATCGGCAAAATCGGCCGATTTTTTTCCAACTTTACAGATAAAAAAAACGGCCAAAATACCGAAAAACGGCCGAACAAATAGCCCACTAACGATCCAAAAATCGGCCGATCTTATTTTCGGCCGAAAAATCGGCCGATTTTCGACCCATCTATGGCCTGCATTAGCGTCCTTCATCCCCAGGCCTGGGCGGATAAACCCGGAAGAGCCAGCAGTCCTCACATGGCGTTACATGAAAAGACAGTGGCACAGGGCCGAGCCAGAGCAGAATTTAGACTGGATTCTGAAGCACACCACCGGATCTCTGAGCAGGTGAGTATCTAAAATATTCACTGGGTATGCCAGGATTTTAAAAAATGGGAGTTGGAATCTGGAGAACTGCTTTAATATCTGCTTGTAGCTCAGTTGTATGTATTTCCCAGGCATTACTAATTACTTATCACATAGTCAACATAGTTACTTTTCTTTCCCACATGTTAAGATGAAATACAACCAGACCGTTATCACGGATGTCACACTCTTGGGATTCCAAACCTCCAAAGTTGTCAGCATATTTCTCTTCACTCTAATTTTGGTTATTTATATCTCAACACTTTGTGGAAACGTGTTGATCATCACCCTGGTGTCCTACAGCAACGTCCTCCACACTCCCATGTACTTCTTCCTCACCCAGCTCTCGTTATCTGATATAATTCTAACCACTGATATCTGCCCAAACCTTCATATTGTAGTTCAAGAAGATGGAACAATGTCCTTCAGAGGCTGCGTGTTGCAGCATTATATTTTTGCCATGACGGAATGTTCGGAGTGTCTTCTTCTGACGGTGATGGCTTACGACCGATATTTGGCCATCTGTAAACCGTTGCATTATACTTCTATAATGGATAAGCTTTTCTGCATAAAGCTAGCTTCTGTGTCTTGGTTGTTGGGCATTATTATTATGATGATCAGCACAGTTACAATCGCTTGTCTGGACTTCTGTGGACCAAATATTATTGACCATTTCTTCTGTGATGCTTTGCCGTTGTTGAACCTTTCTTGTTCAGATACATTTGTGGTTCATTTCGAAATGATTCTGATTAGCATATCTGTGCTCTTCATACCTTTCTTATTTATTATTATATCATATAGTAATGTTATTTTTACTATACTGAAAATCACATCGGCTACTGGAAAACAGAAGACTTTCTCCACCTGTAGCTCTCACCTCACCGTAGTCTCCATATTTTATGTAACCTTGATATTTAGTTATGGCCTTCCGACTAAAGGACAGTTAGTGAGCATAAGCAAATTAGAATCGTTGTTCTACACGGTGGGGACGCCATTGGTAAATCCAATTATATACAGCCTGAGGAACAAAGACATGAAGATAACCTTTTATAAGTTAGTAGAAAACTTTGTAAATTCGGATGATAGGTAATTTCCATAAACTGCACTGTTGATGGCCAAAAAGCCTGAAACAGATAAATGACTCTATAAAATTAAGCTATATGTGCTATATGTACTCTACACCAATTGTATTGGACGTGCATTTGGCTTTTGGGGCATAAAGGGATAATTTATAGAGCTCCACCCACTGTATCCTTTTATTTTTGGGAATTGTGATGTAATGAGACATGGGATACCTTCTGTTTTAAGAAGGCTTTACTGTGCTATCCTATGATACATAGATTAAATGGTAAACATCTGTTTGTTCGGTAGTTTCCTCATATATATTCTCCAGGGTGTCACCCATCCTCTGGAACTCCCTGCCCCAACCCATCAGATTATCACCTACCCTCCTCTCCTTTAGGCGCACCCTGAAAACCCATCTCTTCAGGGAAGCCTACCCCACCCCCTGCTAACTTGCCGACCTCCTCCACTCTTCCTACCACTCCATCCCCCACAGCTATCTCCTCCTGTACCACCATCCCCTCCCTCCTAGATTGTAAGCTCCAAAGAGCAGGGCCCTCGATCCCCTCATGTTTTGCATTGTATTGGTATTGTTCTGTCACATGTTCTGTCCTCCTTTGTAATGTACAGCGCTGAGCGAACTATTGGCGCTTTATAAATACTGTCTAGTAATAATAATAATAATATATCCCTTGCAATCCTGTTTATTGGATTTAGATTTGCATTTTTACAGTTGCAAGAAAAAGTATGTGAACCCCTTGGGATTATGTGGAGTTTTGCATGAATTGGGCATAAAACGTGCTCTGAACGTCATCTAAGTCACAACAATAGAAGAACACAGTTTGCTGAACATAATACTACACAAACATTAGATGTTGCCATGGTTTAATTGCACATAACATGTAAACATTCACAGTGCAGGGAGGAAAAAGTATGTGAACCTTTGGAGTTAATAACTGGTTGACCCTCCTTTGGCAGCAATAACCTCAACCAAACGTTTCCTGTAGTTGCAGATCAGACCTGCACAACAATCTGGAGTAATTTTGGACCACTCCTCTTCACAAAACTGTTTCAGTGTAGCAATATTCTTGGGTTGTCTGGTGTGAATCGCTCTCTTAAGGTCATGCCACAGCATTTCAATCGGGTTGAGGTCAGGACTCTGACTGGGCCACTCCAGAAGGTGTATTCTGTGCTGTTGCAGCCATTGTTTTTTGTTGAATGACTTGTATGCTTTGGGTCATTGTCCTGTTGCATCACCCATCCTCTGTGGAGCTTCAGTTGGCGGACAGATGGTCGTACGTTTTCCTGCAAAATGTCTTGATAAAAACTCTGGAATTCATTTTCCCATCAATGACAACAATCCGTCCAGGCCCTGAGGCAGCAAAGCAGCCCCAAACCATGATGCTCCCTCCGCCATGTTTCACAGTGGGGATGAGGTTTTGATGTTGGTGTGCTGTGCCTTTTTTTCTCCACACAGTGTTGTGTGTTCTTCCCAAACAACTCAATCTTGGTTTCATCTGTCCACAGTATATTTTGCCAGTAGTGCTGTGCAACATCCAGGTGCTCTTTTGCAAACTTCAAACGTGCTGCAATATTCTTTTTGGACAGCAATGGCTTCCTCCGTGGTGTCCTCCCATGTACTCTATTCTTGTTTAATGTTTTCCTTATTGTAGATGTGTCAACAAAAATGTTAGCACGTGCCAGAGATTTCTGTAGGTCTTTAGCTGACACTCTGAGATTCTTCTTTACCTCATGCAGCATTCTGCGCTGTGCTCTTGCAGTCATTTTTACAGGACGACTGCGCCTAGGGAGAGTAGCAACAGTGCTAAACTTTCTCCATTTGTAGACAGTCTGTCTTACCGTGGACACATGAACATCAAGGCTTTTGGAGATACTTTTGTAACCCTTTCCAGCTTCATGCAAGTCAACAATTCTTGATCGTAGGTCTTCTGAGAGCTCTTTTCTGCGAGGAATGGTTCACATCAGACAGTGCTTCTTGAAACCAGTAAACCCAAAACAGGTGTGTGTTTTTTTAAGGGCAGGACAGCTGTCAGCAACACATCCAATATCATCACACTGATTGGAGTCAAGGTTGGCTCACTCCTGGCTCTAATTAGCTCTGGGAGAAGTCATTAAGCTAGGGCCTCACATACTTTTTCCTCCCTGCACTGTGAATGTTTACATGTTATGTGCAATTAAACCATGGCAACATCTAATGTTTGTGTAGTATTATGTTCAGCAGACTGTGTTCTTCTATTGTTGTGACTTAGATGACGTTCAGAGCACATTTTATGCCCAATTCATGCAAAACTCCACGTAATCCCAAGGGGTTCACATACTTTTTCTTGCAACTGTATATATAAAGACTCAGCGAGCGCTTAATAAAAGGAGCAGCTAAGGCACTAAAAGGAAAACCATATGCCTTCCAAGAAATAAATAAGATAATTGTGCAGCGCTAAAAGTACCAAAAATAAATCAAAAAAGGGTGTCCAATTATTAATCCAAATATGTGCATAAAAACAATTGTCCTGATGATAATATATGGAAAAAGTGAAAGTTCAAATGGATGTGATTACAGTTCAAATAAATATCAAGGTTTTCACTGATTATAACCAAAGTGACTCTATTATTCCCAGCTGTGCATGATGTAGCATTCCAGTGAAGTGTGGGGTATAGATATAATGCACACTCACCAGATGCACATTAATAAAGCACGGTGTATACAATAAATGATGGTCTGCCAGGAATCCCTTCTAGGTGGTACCGGATGCAACCTGAGTTAGATGGCCTTCATCTGGATTATGGGATGGTAGTCAGTCGGAGGTCCCCTTTAAGGGTAGGCTGTGACACAGCGGATAAACCTCTTCCAGGGATGATCACCAAGGAGTTGCTGGGTAATTAAGTGCTCAGTGCAGAGCAAAAAGGGAATATGTCCATAGTGTAGTAATTAGGTATACTTTAATGGTATTCAAGGTTGAAAGGCCATATATTCACATACATAGGCAAGAGTAGGTAATACATGCAACATAAAGCTGCTGAGTAAACTGACCAGATGGAGTTCCAATATGACCGCCGGACCTCCGTGATCCGGCGACGTGATGTCACGGCGTGCAGGCTCCTCCTTCATTTTTGTTTGGTTTGCTATCCTTTTCATAATCTGTATTTACCCGTAAAGGTAAACCCAAAATGAATGCCATCTAATTTGGTAAACAATTGTCTATTTTTCTAATAAAATATTTGTTTTACCTTTTTTCATTCCTTATTGAGACTCATTGCTGCCAGTTTTCTGAAGCCTCTTTATAGCTACTACCTGCACTCCAAGGACAGCTGCTTCTTAAACTCCATTAACAGGTGTGTAGAATTTCTCAGGGTGGGTTTCCTGGCATTCACAATAGTGGACCAAGCCCATGTTAGGTGTGTTGGAACAGCCACTTGTGGTCTCCATCATAAACCTGGGTGAAAGATTGACAATTCGGGAGAACAATTAGGAGACAAGAACTGAGCATGGTCACCTAATTTAAGGAAGTACCTGAAGAAAGGCCTTCATGGCAAGATGACCATGCAATGTTTCAATGAATGCTGCAAATTTTGAAAATATTAAAAACGATTTTTAATTACATAGAGGTAAAGCTCATGTGAGGGTTTAGTAATTGGGTTTATATCTACTATATTTGTTTTATATTGTATAACATTAACTTGCATTAAAGTCATGTTTATTCTTGCAGGGACCTATTTAAAACATTCATAGCCTCTCCCACCCATCCCTTGATCCCATTACGCAAGAAAACGTTTAGTTTGTGAGAATTAGGTTCAGTCCGAATTCTTGTTCCCCCACTCCTGGCCTGCCAGAATGGTATATGGTACAGTGAAGGAAATAAGTATTTGATCCCCTGCTGATTTTGAATGTTTGCCCCCTCAAAGAAATGATCAGTCTAAAAATCGAATGGTAGGTTTATTGTAACACTGAGAGACAGAATAGCAACAACAAATTCAGCAGAAATGCGTCTAACAAATGATGACTGATTTGCATGTTCATGAGGGAAATAAGTATTTGATCCCCTTCACAAAACATGACTTAGTATTTGGTGGCAAATCCCTTGTTGGCCATCACAGAGGTCAGACATTTCCTGTAGTTGGCCACCAGGTTTGCACACATCTCAGGAGGGATTTTGGCCCACTCCTCTTGGCAGATCCTCTCCAAGTCATTAATATTTTTTGATTCCACTATTTTTCAAATTTACCACCACCATTTACATACATAAATCATTTGCATAATCTTATATACAAAATAAAATGTCCACGTGAAGAAAAAGAAATCCCCTTGAGGGAGTAACTCATATCCACAACAGCAGGACATGTCTTGACTATAAAGTTTTCACAATGTTGGAGGTTTCGATATTCAGCATGTGTATGGTCATCTGCACAGAAGGGAAATGTTCCTCTAATTCTGATTGAGCAGCAGGACATGTCTGGTAGTTCTGGAAGTATGACATGTTAGCAGCCTCTTGACACTTCCCCATACAGTCCTTGTGTGCTCTCCATCTCAGATGTGTAGATGTCTATATTCATGCTAAATATTCAAACTTCCAACATTGTGAAACCTTCATAGTCAAGTCAGCGGGAGTGTGAGTGTGGACTGAAGTAGCCTTCCAGC